CATCTCATAATTATAATACTGCCCATCTCACAGTAATAATACTACTCGCCTCACAATTATAATACCGCCCATCTCACAGTAATACTGCTACTCACCTCACAATTATAATACCGCCCATCTCATAGTAATACTACTACTCACCTCACAATTATAATACTGCCCATCTCACAGTAATAATAATACTCAACTCACAATTAAAATGCTGCCCATCTCACAGTAACAATACTACCCATCTCACAGTAATACTTCTATCTCAAAACTCTAATGGAGTCCAGTAGCTCAGTGGTTAGAGCACTCGCCTTGCGAGCGAGAGACCTGAGTTCAATTCCAGGCAGAGGGGGAAACCTTGGGCAAGTTTCCTTACTCCACACAGAGCCTAATAATAATCCCTCAAGAAAAGAAATGAAATAATAATTCGGTCACTCAACCCACGACTGTTTGTGGGACATTGCTGTGCGCGATTGGCTGCCGCGTTTCGCCCACAAATATACAGTCAGTTCACTTTACAGTCTATTCTGTGAAGCGCTTTGAGACGTCCAGAAGACGTGAAAAGCACTATATCAAATGCAAGGATTATTATAATTATTATAATTATAATACTCCCCATCTCACAGTAATAATACTCCAAAAGTGATCAGAACATCTAAATTAATTAGGTGGTGGGGGGGGGGGGGGGGGGGGGGGGGGGGGGGATAAAAGCAGTTATTAACCAATCAAGAAACCCAGTCAGTTTAAGATTAACCTCTGATTGAATCTGCATTTCCCTCCCACAGGGCAGCACTGCCAATAGGTGCAGAAGTGAGAGAGACAGAGAGAGAAGGAGAGAGAGAGAGAGAGAGAGAAAGTTGGCAGCTGGTGGGTAACAAAGGAAAGCAACAAGAAACGAGGGCGTGTGAAATACCAAATCGAGCTCAATCCTGTTCTGAATGAGCAGAGGAATCTGCTTCGTGATTTGGATGCTCTCTCCTTCTCTGCCTCTCCCTCCTCCCTCTGCCTCTCCATCCCTTTCTGCCTCTCCTTCCTCCCTCTGCCTCTCCTTCCTCCCTCTGCCTCTCCATCCCTTTCTGCCTCTCCTTCCTCCCTCTGCCTCTCCTTCCTCCCTCTGTCTCTCCTTCCTCCCTCTGTCTCTCCTTCCTCCCTCTGTCTCTCCATCCTTTTCTGCCTCTCCTTCCTCCCTCTGTCTCTCCATCCTTTTCTGCCTCTCCTTCCTCCCTCCGCCTCTCCTTCCTCCCTCTGTCTCTCCTTCCTCCCTCTGCCTCTCCATCCTTTTCTGCCTCTCCTTCCTCCCTCTGCCTCTCCATCCCTTTCTGCCCCTCCTTCCTCCCTCTGCCTCTCCTTCCTCCCTCTGTCTCTCCATCCTTCTCTGCCTCTCCTTCCTCCCTCTGCCTCTCCATCCCTTTCTGCCTCTCCTTCCTCCCTCCGCCTCTCCTTCCTCCCTCTGTCTCTCCATCCCTTTCTGCCCCTCCTTCCTCCTTCTGCCTCTCCTTCCTCCCTCTTCCTCTCCTTCCTCCCTCTGCCTCTCCTTCCTCCCTCTACCTCTCCATCCCTTTTCTGCCTCTCCTTCCTCCCTCTACCTCTCCATCCCTTTCTGCCTCTCCTTCCTCCCTCTGCCTCTCCTTCCTCCCTCTGCCTCTCCATCCCTTTCTGCCTCTCCATCCCCTTCTGCCTCTCCTCTCCTCCCTCCCTCCCTCCCTCCCTGATCTGTGTTGAAAAACGTTCAATGAATGAACAGACAGGTCCCTTCCCTGCTTTCCTCACCACATTACGTCTTGGAGACTTTTAACTGGAGAGAGAGAGAGAGAGAGACTCACACACACACACAGCAGGAGGCGAGACTCCTCCTAGAAGCAGAGACACGCACACATACACAGTCACTCACTCCACTCACTCACTCACACACACACACAGCGACAGAGCAGCACAGAGCAAAGCAGTGAGATCTTCTGGAGAGAGAGAGAGAGAGAGAAAGAGAGAGAGAGGAAGAGAAAGAGAGAGAGAGAGAGATCTGTGTGAGGGGGAGCCAGGGATCTTGTGTGTCTGAGACTCAGGAATAGACAGAAGGAGAGAGGAGGAGGAGGAGGAGGAGGAGAGGAGTGTATCAGCTTGGCTCTTATCTCTCTCTTTCTTTCTTTCTCTCTCTCTCCATCTCTCTCTCCCTTTTGTAACCTCCTCCCAACTCCCTGTACCACTCCATCACTAGGGATGGGAGAAGAGATTTCACCCAAACCTCAGCAGTTGTGGGAGAAATAGCCCATCAAGAGACCCCCAAAAAGCATCATTTGTGTATTTTTTTTGGGGGGGGGGGGGTGGCATCTCTCTCTCTCTCTCTCTCTCTCTGTGTGTGAGCCCATCCCTTCGCTGGATCTGAGCTGGAAGGTGCAAAGGAGGAGAGAGGGAGAGAGATATTGAGAGGAGGAAGGAAGGAGGGAAGGAGGGAGGGAAGGGAGGAAGGAGGAAAAGGAGAGAGATTGCTGGAAGAGGAGAGGAGGACAAGAGTACGTATGGTCGGCAGAAGGGAGGACCAGTGGGGCTCTGTGAGGGAGAGGAGCCTTCAGGAGGACAGTGGGTTGAGACCAAAGTTTCTGTGCTTTCTCTAAGGCTCCCCTGTCCCTCTCCATCTCTCCCTCTCTCTTCCCCCTCTCTCTCTCTCTCTCTCTCTCACCCCCACCCCCCCCCTGGGGAGGGGAGAGGGGAGAGGAGAGGGTGTGGGGGGGTCGGGGTGACTGGCAAGTCCAACCCAGACGCCAATTGGAGCCAAGACCAGGCAAAGCCGAGGATGTCAGCATCTCTGGGAGCCCATGGCGGCCCGCGGGCTGTGGCGGCCCCTCTGCCCATGTCTGAGATGCCAGATCTCAGCCACCTGACTGAGGAGGAGAGGTCCATCATCATGGCCGTGATGGACAGGCAGCGAGAGGAGGAGGAGAAGGAAGATGCCATGCTCAAGTAAGAGACATTTCAGGCTTTTCTTGATGGGGAAATGATTGTCCTCTCCTCTTCCAGCGATCTCTCTCTCCTTTTCTTCCTTCCCTCTCTCTCACTATTTTTTTTTTTTTTTTTTTTTGCAAACCCTCCCTCCTATTGCATTTATCCCATGTCTTTAAATCCCCCACTCTCTCTCTCTCTCTTTCCCTTCTCACCCTCTTGCCATCCCTGTAACCCTTCCTCCACCCCCACTCCCCTCTCTCTCACTCACACTCACTCCATCCCTCTCTCTCTCACACTCACTCCATCCCTCTCTCTCACACTCACTCCATCCCTCTCTCTCTCACACTCACTCCATCCCTCTCTCTCTCTCTCACACTCACTCCATCCCTCTCTCTCTCACACTCACTCCATCCCTCTCTCTCTCTCTCACACTCACTCCATCCCTCTCTCTCTCTCTCACCCTCCCTCCATCCCTCTCTGCCCAAGACATCCAGGATGCTAGTTTGCTTTCTTTCTTTCTTTCTCTCTCTCTCTTTCTCTCATCCACCATCACCTGATCCCTTGTAGTTTATATACGATTCTCAGATCGAGATCATTATAATATATATATATATATATATAGAGAGAGAGAGAGAGAGATGTATAGATGTATGTGTTTGGGGGGAGAGTAGGGAGAGGGAGAAGGTTGCTTGGGTGATTGAGAGAGAGAGAGAGAGACACACATCCATATACAGAAAAGAAATCAACAGGATTCGAGCTATGTTTGAGCTCCCAGTGTGCATGGCTTTTCTGTTCAAAGAAAATCTAACCTGTATCCTGTTTGACTTATCAATCACATCCATCCCCCACCCCAACCATCCCCATCCCTCCCCTCCTTGTGGGTGAAATATTCACCCCATATTGTGCTTACAATTTGCACATTATCGATAAATCCACACACACATATATATCTATCTGCGTGGATGTGTGTCAAAAAAAGACAATCGATTGTTCGTTTCAATAATGGAGCCAAAGTGTCCATGGAATCCACTTTCTCTGTGGCCTGAAAGGCTCATGGCTTGTGTGTGTGTGTGTGTGTTGGGTGGGGTGAGATTTTATTAATTAACTGGACAGAGATAGGTGCTTTTTTTTCTGGGCTGCTCACTGTTGAGATGTTTGCGAGAGGCCCTCTCCCCAAAATGTGTACGGGGTTAAAAAAAATCAAATAATCTTGGTCAATGTGTGAACGCTGGAGGTTTTCCTGCTCAGATCAGGCCGGGTTGACAGTCCTGTGTTTCTCCTGTTCTCTCATCGTGTCTTGTTGTATGGTGATATAACTCCATCCTTTGCCAGGCGTCAGCTATGGAGATGGGTTGGTTGGGGTTGAGTATATAGTTGGTTGGTTGGTGGGCGAGAGAGTGTGTGTGTGTGTATGTGGGTGGGTGTTAGTGTAGTGGAAGGCAAAAGATTGGCACTGGATTAAATGGAACGAAGGGATGAGGTGTTGCATTCCTTGACACTGTGTGTGTGTGTGTTTATATAAAAAGCTGTATGTGTTTGGTATTGCTTGGTTGGGTTCAGAAAATGGTTACATAAGCAGTGACTTTTTTTAATGGTATTCCTGTTGACCCGTGCTGCTGAATCACTCACTTAACTCGTGTGCTTTGCAAATGCTTGAAATGTGAATTAAATTTCCGCCCTGCGGAATAATTTGGGTGTAGAGAAGAATAAGGCTCGTCTCCTTTAAATGAGCTGACTCCTGTAATTTTATTGTGTGTGTGTGTGTGTGAGTGTGTGTGGCTTGAACTGTATGTGCTTGTAAAGCGTTGAAAGCCATCAATTCCGGTGCTGGCGACTGTTGAAATGATCCAGAGCTGGACTGGCACAAGTGGAGTTGTATCCTTCACATGGTCTGCGTGGGGTGTGGTTAGCATCTCAGTGTATGGAGGAGAGCGAGGATGTTGGCTGTTCTGTGCATTGACTCTACGTCAGTCCGAAATGTCAGGGAAATATGCATTGCCAGGGAATTTGAGATTATCCTCTTTTAAACAATCAATGTCTTACACCACTGTTTGGGAGCAATAAGACAAGGGTGGGAGGGGAGAATGTGCAATCAGTTCTTCCGACTGGTCAGGTAAAGATAATCTAGTATCCAGTTACGCTGAACTGTACAGATCCCATTCAGAACCTGGTGTGTTAACTCTTAAGCTGCTTTGGCATTTGAACAGAGTGAGTCCTGTAGCATAATGGTTTGGTTGTTTGCCTCACAAGTGACCGGACCCGGGTTTGATTCCTGGACAGGGCGAAACCTTAGGCAAGTTTTTTTACTCCACACGCCTCTGTTTTCCTAGCAGCAAGTAGGAACCTGGTTGTTACTCGATTATGGGATCGCTTTCCGGGGGTATTAATCCCTTCAAAAAATGTGGTCACTCAATCCACGACTGTCTCACTGTTTGTGAGACACTGCCGTGAGCAATTGGCTGCCGCGTTTTGCCCACAAAAATACTCAAATCAATTCGCTTTAAAATATATTCTGTGAAGCATTTTGAGACGTCTCGACGACGTGATCAGGTGCTATGTCAAATGCAAGGATTATTATTAGAAGTATGCGTGGGCACGTCTAATAGCTATAATTGTGAGACACAATAATCTTTCTTTGTTACATTTTAGACAATATCTGTAATGCTGAAATGTCTCGCCTGTTTGCCAATGGCAACCTCCCTCACTTACACACTGAATGATCAATTTATCTGGGGGGATTGTTGAGCAAGAAGGGAGGAACTTCCTTCCTCTTTTCACTCACCAATTTCTCCGCTCGGTGGGCACTGGCCTGCTCCATGTCCCCCCACCCTGCCCGCCCCACTCCACCATTGGCGGTTGGGCCTTCAGGTTTTCTGCCCCCACGCTTTGGAATTCCATCCCCGAATCCCTCCACCTCATTCCCTCCCTTACCTCCTTAAAGGCCCATCTCAAGACCTTCCTCTTTGACTGAGCTTTTGGCCATACTCTCACCCCCACTACCCCTACCTTCCAATCTCCCCCAACACCCACCCCCGCTTGGGTGCAAACCCTTAACAGCCCAGTGCCTTGGAGCGTCCTCTTGACGTGAAATGCAATGCATAAATATAATTTGTTGCTTTTAAATAGCACCATGGTATCTTTGAACGTTCACCTGACCAGGCAGACAGGGCCTCGGTTTAAGTGTTGTCCTAATGACAGCGACTCTGAGAATGCAGGGCAACTGGTTCCTTAGCCATGGCCGATCTTCGGAATGTGCTGTGTTAGATGAGTGCAACTCAACACAAAGCAAATGCTGACTCCCCGACTGAGGACAAGACGGGCCTGAGTGCAAATATCGCAGGATCACAAGAGAGGCTCAGATAAAGAAGGTCCTTTGGCCTATTGGATCTCATCGTCCCAGAATAGCCACCCTACTCTCCTCATGTCGCAGCATCAAGCTTTTCGGGGGTCAGCCGGGTGTCTGACACATGCGGAAACCCATCACCGTTGCTTAAGAGTATCCAAACCGAACTGAGATTTCCACGCATCCCACCCACACATGGAAATCCCAGAGATAGATTGTTGGAATGGAATGCGACACTCTCTCACTGGAGCGACACATCAAGCAACACAATACAATTTATTTATAGCGCCTTTCGTGTCTGGAGAACACCTGAAAGCACTTAGCTATATGAGTTCCTGGCCTCAACCACCTCTTCTGGTAATCTGTTCCAGTCGTCAATTACCCTTGTAACAGAATACTTCCTGGCAAAAGGCAAAATTTTGCTGATGCTGGAAATCTGAAAAAAAAACAGAAGTCGCTGGGAACACTCAGGTCAGGCAGCATCTATGGAGAAAGGAAAGTGAGTCAACATTTCGGGTCCACGACCCTTCGTCAGAACTGGAGGTAGAGACTTTTATGGGCTAACAGAGAGGGGGGAGGCAGGGCAAGGAAGACAAAGGAGAAAATGGGGTCGAGGATAGGGGATGATGAGTTAACGATGGGAATAATTCCTGGTGTCTGCCCTGAAATAGCCTTTTGTAACTGCAAACCTGTGTCCTCTTATTCTGCTGTTTTGCTGACTTGGTGCATCTGAACATATTGCTCTGGGTTTACTTTCTCAATCCTATTTAAAATCTTATATACTGCTATACAGTCCCCCACTGAGACAAGAATGAAGAGCCAAAGAAATTTAAAGCATGGATGTGGTCATTCGTTCCCTAGCTGTCTGATCATTGCTCCTAGCTCATTCCTCTAATAGTAGGGATCATTAGCTTGTCTCATTTGGTATCACTCTTGCCTCTGAGTAATAAAGGTTGTGGCTTCAGGCCCCATGTGGGACTTTGGACTTGCATAATTTAAGCTGACGCTCCAGTACAGTAAGAGGCATTTCCTGCATTGTCAGAGGTGCCGTCCTTCGGATGAGATGTTAAACCGAGGTCCCGTCTACCTATTCAGGTGGTCGCTCCAGATTCTCTGTCACTACTCAAAAAAGAGAAGGCAGTTTATAGCAATGTCCTGGCCAATAATAATAATAATAATAATAATAATAATCCTTGCATTTGATATAGCGCTTTTCACGTCGGGAGGACGTCCCAAAGCGCTTCACAGAACACACTGTAAAGTGAATTGACTGTATATTTGTGGGTGAACGCGGCAGCCAATTGCGCACAGCAATGTCCCACAAACAGCGTAGATTGAAAATGACCAATTTAATTATTGTTTTTGTTTTTTTGGAGGGATTATTATTAGGCGTGTGGAGTAAGGAAACTTGCCCAAGGTTTCGCCCTCTGCCTGGAATTGAACTCAGGTCTCTCGCTTGCAAAGCGAGTGCTCTAACCACTGAGCTACAGGACTCCAATATTCCTCCAGATGAAAATGAACACTCATTTTATGGCTGTTTGAGGGATATTTCATCCCCAAAATATACAGTCCAAAAACGCTTTACAGTAGATTCTGTGAAGTGCTTGGAGATATCTCGACGACATGATATTAATAATAATAATCCTTGTATTTGATATAGGACCTTATCAGTCTTCGAGACGTCTCAAAGTGCTTCACAGGATATGCTGTAAAGTGAATTGACTGTATATTTGGTGGGCAAAATGCGGCAGCCAATTGTCAACAACAGTGTCCCACAAACAGTCATGGATTGAGTGACCAAATTATTCTTTTTTTTGAAGGGATTAATACACTCAGAAAGGCATAATGAAAATGATAAGGTTCTATATCAAAAGCAAGGATTAATATTGTGTGCAATTTGCCTGCTCTGTTCATCTGCAAAACACAGTCAACTTTACAGTAACTTTACCTGTGAAATGTTTTGAGGTGTTATCACAATGTAATCACCCTATTGAATAGATGAGAGGAGAGAGCTCCAGTTGGGGAGCAACAGGTTTCTGGTTAACTTGGAATCGATGGTCTTGACAGAATTGTGGAGGCTTCAAGGTTGGGAGTGCAATTGGTCCAGCAACAACGACAACTTGGATTTATACAGCGCCCCTTCACACACAGCAATGTCTCGGAGCGCTTAACATTGGCGGAGCCTGACCCCGAGCTAGGGGAAAGGGAAGGTGACTGCGTATGAGGCTCCCATCACCTTATACGTCTCAATGATCTCCCCTCTCAGTCTTCCGTAGATAATAATTCCTTCCAAAAAAACAATTGGTCACTTCAATCTACAACTGCTTGTGGGAACGCTGCTGTGCGCTATTGGCTGCCGTGTTTCGCCCACAAAATATACAATCAATTTACTTTACAGTATATTCTGCAAAGGGCTTTCAGATGGTCTCAATGACGTGATAAGGCGCTATATCAAATGCAAGGATTATTATTATTATTTCGGGCTCCAAAGGAAAAAGCCACAGTTTATAAGCCTTTCCTTGTAACTGTATTTCCTCATTCCAGGCAACATCCTGGGTTATGGCCTCTATACCATCTCGAGTGCTTTTATGTCTTTCCCATAATGAGGAGCCTAAAACTGGTCGTAAACTGTGTGGAGTTACATAGAAAGATATGGCACAGAAATGGGCTATTTGCCCAACTAGTCTGTGCCAGGGTTTATACTCCACAAAAGCCCCCACTTCTCCTATTCCCCTTTCCTGCACCCCTCTATTCCCTTCTCACCCATGTGTGCATCAGGTTTCCTCTTAAATATGTTGATGCTGATGGTTTCTGCTTCAACCATAGCTTCTGACAATGAGTTCCACATACTCACCGCCCACTGCATGAAGACGTTCCCTCTAAATTCTCAATTCAGTCTTATATTCATGTCCCCTCACTTTGTACTCAAGTAAGATTTATATCACACCGCTATTATTATAAAATAATATTAATGTTATGGTTGTGAAGTAATGCATTGAACATTGTACATTAGTAAGTAATATTCCTGTCAACAGCTACATTAACTTGCGTGTATATAAATGCAATTTCAGAATTCCATGAAAATGATCATCCATCCCACTTTTACCCCATAATATACATGGTATATAAACTGTTGAATGATACATTAAAGCAAGGTCCCGTCTACCTGTTCAGGTGAATGTTAAAGATCCTGTGGCGCTATAATAATAATAATCCTTGCATTTGATACAGTGCCTTATCATGTCTTATCATCTTGTCTGAAAGCGCTTCACAGAATATACGGTAAAGTGAATTGACTGTATTTTGTGGCTGAACTGCAGCAGCCAATTGTGCACACCAGTGTCCCACAAAGTCGTGGATTGAGTGACCAAATTATTATCATTATTATTTTTTGAAAGGATGATTACCCCCCGGAAAGCGCTCTACCAACCTTCTAACAACCAAGTTCTTACTTACTGCTAGGTAACCAGAGGCATGTGGCGTTAGGAAACTTGCCCAGTGTTTCGCCCTGACTGGGATTCGAACCCAGATCCTCACTTGCAAGAAAAGAGAAGGGAAGTGTTCACTCTCCTGGTGTCCTGGCCAACAAATCTCCCAAATAAAATTGGTCACTTGCTGTTTTATGGGATATTGCTTTGTGCAACTTTGTGTGTTTCATCCACAAAATACAGTCAGTTCCCTTTAGAGTATATTCTGCGAAGCACTTTGAGACGTCTCGATAATGTAAGGCACTATATCAAATGCAAGAATTATTATTGATATTATTAATA